CACAATGGGGGGCAACCCCTCAATTGACTTATCCGAGTCAACCCTTTTCAAACCATCAGCCAAATTAGGTTTGAAAATCCAATCACTGAACGCCTGTGACAAATCCCCAGCCACAGCTGTACTAAATATGTAAAACCCATATAGCATATGAACCATAGAACTCACAAAAAGCTCCACTAATTGAAGAGATGAAATCCACCACCTCATCATTCTTTTTTTCCTCAAATAAACAAATAAAAGAAATTCAAAAATTTGCCAAATCTCTGTGCCTCAGAGCCTTCTCCAAGAAAAAAACAAGAGAAGGCTCTTGATCATCAACCCCCACCCCCCAAAACAAAAACAAAATCAAACCCTCTTCAGCCGTGAAAAAAAAAATCAAGAAACAACAACCCCTCCTCTCCAAATAATGATGTAATAAAAAAATGAAAAAGATTATGTTTCTTGTAATGAAATAATGAATGGGGGTTTCTTGTTTTTAAAGCATGCAAGAAAAAGTGGAGCTTTGTTCCCACAATTTCCTCATTGCCTACCTTTCACTCGTTCGTTCACAGCAAGTCGTTCAAAATTTTTTTTTTCACAACGACCATATGATTATTTATTACCACAACATTAAATAAAAATAGAAAAAGATTGGTTTTTTATTTTAGGTCTACAGCAATTAGCTTCTCTCTCATCTCTCTGTAGAGGAGGGGTGGGGGGCCCTTTCTCTCTCTCGTTAGGAAAGGCTGGTCAAGATTGGTTGCACGTGCCTTAGTGTTAACCGCTGCCAGAGATTTTCCGATTTGTCTTGGTCCCACATAAATGACAAACGGACGATGAAATACAGGGAGGGCAGGCCCTTATTAATTAAGCACATGTCATTAGATATAATCTCCGTGATTAATGAGGGATTAAGGTGAAGGATCTTGTGTGTTTTTATGGGTAAAGATTGGATTTTTTGTTGGTGGACTACTTAGGTAAACTAAGAATACATGTTTAGAATATTTTATTTGGTGGGCATTTTTATATTGTTTTAATATTGTTGGATAAAATATTAGTTAATATTAATTAAAGATTAATTAATATTAATTAAGATTGAGGAAGAGGTAGGAATGTGCTGGATGAGAGCTGTATGGTTTTTTGTGTCAAACCAACTCTTACAACTGTCCCACCCCTTATCCAAATCATAGGATTTGTCCCTCTGTTTTTGTTTTTTCTTTTTTTTTTTTGTTTTTTTTGTTTTTTTTTTATGATTATTATGTGGCTCAAATTCTTTATCTATTTATTTTATTTTGTATTTTACAAGAATTATCCATCCATTATAAAGTGGCTAAAAATTAAATCTTCAAATAACTCATATCATATGCCTAATTGGCCAGCCCAATGTGCTTACAATTTATTTACCTATTGGGCCACGAGCCCAATATTAAAGATCACTATCACCTATGTCTAATCACTTTCAAATAAGGTTTGGGCCTCACAATCTCAACTAAGGTATAAATAACGATATAATTCATTTCTTAAGGTACGTCCTATTATTTGAGCAATACTACAACATGTATTATCTGGACTATTTCTACTATTCGATCCCTAGTATTAATCGATAGAGGGGTTTCTGCCGGATCAACCCCGAGCCTAGGTCACGTGTTTTATGATCGCAGGTATCTCAATGTCATCAAGCTCGTGAGCCAGTGATCCACTCTGCTCTTCCAGCTCATCCTACTTCAACTCTCTAAGGTGATCTAGCTGTAGCATCATTATCATAATACACGTAATTCTTGAATTTGAAAAATAAGACGTAACAACTTATCAACTATTAAGACAGTTTATTAAAGAGTTTATTAGTTGTTTAACATTAGTTTAGTAAAAGGGGCTATACGTTGAAGTTTGACTTAACGAAAGAAAACATCCATTGACATTCTAATTATTTTATTTGTAAACATAAAAAATAAAAATATATATCTAATTTAAAAGACAAGTGAAGACAATTATTTTGGTCTGAAAATTCACTTTGAATGTTTAAACTACGAACCTTCCAGATTACTTAGAAACTTTTATTTTGGGAAAAAGCAAAATTCGCAACATGTGATTGGTTGACTAGTTGAAGCCTTTGCCCATACAAAAATAAATACTATAAATAGTAATAAATAAATAAATAAACAAAATAAGTAAATATAGTAATTTTGTATGGTTGGGAAAAGCAAACGCCGTTTATTAAATTGTGAAGCACATGCTGCATTATCATGCTATGTTAGGTTCGTGTGGTATTTATTTAACGCTTATTTCGGTGGATTATTTATTTTATTCTGTTTTATTTCCTTTTCATGTGGGCAGTGTTAATCAATTGACATAATTTATTTTGAAAAATGAATTAATTTAATTTGTAAAATTTAACCTAAAAATATCCCATTCTCTAATTGTTGGAACAAAAAAAATATATTTTATTTCAAGAATCAACAATTTCAATTTTTTTTAGTAGAACACTACTTTTGTAATTAAATGGGCTTTTTCGATTGGCCCATTAATTTGCATCAATCGGGCCTAAAGGAAAAGTAAACCATAATTGGGCATATTGGGTCAATAAAGACTACTTACGAACTCTTATAGAAGAAAATGGATCAGGCCCGCAATACAATCTGCAATAGCGAAAATTACGGCCACCCCCTGAAATAAGTTTAAATTATGAAGAACCCCATCATGTTTGGGTAATTACAAAACATCCCTCAACTATGTTTACATTTTCATATTTACGGGGTCAAATTTACCTGCTGAAAAACCGGTTTTTTCGTAAGGAAATACATTAGTTGAGAGGTGACTGTAATTACTCAAACACGATTTTTTTTAATTATAACTTATTATTTTTATTTTAAATGAGCATGAGTTGTATACGTCAAAAATCTGCAAAAGTATATATGTTCCAATGATGGAATATTGCAATTTGTGATCACAAATATTATATGCATAGTTTCATGGCCATGGTCAAGGAACCATCACTAGGTCCACCCTCATCAATTCATATATGGTTGCATTTTCCAATAATTCTTCCTAATATCTAAATACATAAAAAATAAAAATAGAATATTGTTTGAATTAAAAAAAAATCATATCATATGTGTCAACATCAATATAATGATGAGGATTGATTTATTATGTTACGTATCGAACCAATTTCCCTCCTGATGTCTCGAAACCTATTACCAAATAGGTCTAGGTGCAAGGTGTTTACTAACATGCTGCATAATCTTAACCTGTTTTCTTATATTACATTTAATGTTAAACATAAAAAATATGGTATTAAATATGTTTTTTTTTTTATTTATAATATCCCTCATTTTGACAATAGTTTAATTTGTAGCATTTTTGGGATATAATTATCATTGAGACCAGTGGCGAGGCCAGAAATTATCGTGAGGGGGGGCTTAAACACATCGGGGGTTCGGGGGCAGAGCCCCCGAATTTTTTTTTGCTATCAAAGAAATTTAACATGAAAATTTGATATGAATTTTTTTTTTCCTGCATTTTCAGAAGATAATACCAAAACAAATCGCGAAAGCTAAATTGCTATAAAAATCTAACAAACATGAATATCAAGTCGATTATAAAAAAATTACACAATGGACTTCGAATTAATATTCATTATGAAAAGTAAGATAAAAGAGAAGACGTCAAACGTTAATTGATCGCCGGTGGGTAGCAATTTAACCGCCATAAGTGCGACTATGCGATAGAACAAAGTTTTTTTTTTTTTTTCAAAGAACGAGAATTTAGTTGGGAAATAGAAGACGAGGACAAGTCAGACGTGAAAGGGGGCTTTGAGT